GATACTAGACTCTGAACAAGGTGAAACTGATGTTGCTGATAAGCCCTACTCTAAATTTCGAAGATGAAACGCATGAGCTTTTAATTCTTCCAAGCACAAAAGAGAAATGGGATATGCTGACTACTGAGGGCCTGAGGCATCCACGGGCCCAGGTTTCTCCGAAAGTGTCACATGACTGATAAGCAGAGATCATGGTCCGATAAGCCGGAAAGGGATTAGCGCGGGGTGCGAATTCCCACGCCTCCCAAAAAAGACTCGAGTTGACTCAAACGTGAGTAATTTTACGACGGCAAGCAGCTCAACGCCCGTCGCTGTGGTGCTCCAGCCGATTCTTCTCGTTAGGAGTGTCTCTTTGGCACTTCTGTGAAGAGTTGAACTAATCTCGATTTAAATCGCATCCTTCTTTCTCATCTCCCTGTCTTCCTCCGGTTCGCCATCCTGTTGTACGCGGAAGGGAAAAAAAAAAAAGAGGGTACCCAAGGTGCCACTTCACAATGGCCTCCACATCCACCAATGCCACATACTTGGCCATCCCAGGCTCAGTTGCCTTCTCACACTCTCGTGGGCGGGCAATTGCAGCCAGCATTGGGGCCCATGATGTTCGAGCTCAATGGATCCACTACGTGCACACTGAACGACCCTTGGATGCTCAGCAACAGGGCGTCTTGGAGCAGTTGCTCCGTTACGGCGATATCACCGATGTTCCAGCCTCATTCAGCCCCGAGGATAGTTCCTTCGATGTCTTCTATGTCTTTCCTCGGACTGGAACTATTTCCCCTTGGAGTTCCCAAGCTACTGGTATCTCGCATGTTTGTGGCTTGCGTCAGTACGTGAAGCGCATTGAGCGGGGTATCAAGATCTCATGTCTTCGCGAAAAGTCACAAGAGTTCAAGCCTGGTTTCGAGGATGTTCTGCATGATCGGATGACCCAATTGCTCAGCCAAACCGAGCCCGACCTGCACCTGATGTTTTCCGAACATGCTCCTCAACCCCTCGAGACGATCCCCCTTCACGGCAGCGACAAGTCTCCCAAAGAAGTACTACAAGAAGCGAACAAACGGCTAGGGTTGGCATTGGAACAATCAGAGATCGACTATCTCGCTGATGCTTACGGGCCCAATGGTCCTCTCGCTCGTGACCCTACTGATGTCGAACTGTTCATGTTCGCTCAGGTCAACTCGGAGCACTGCCGTCACAAGCAGTTCAACGCTTCCTGGGTTATCGATGGCAAGCAGATGCCAAACAGTCTCTTCGCCATGATTCGCAACACGCATAAAAAGCACCCCGAACACACTGTTAGCGCCTACAGTGACAACGCCGCCGTGCTCGAGGGACCCAACGCCGCATTCTGGGCTCCTGATTCATTCACCGGCGAATGGAACCACACCAAGGAGGTCGTTCACTTCTTGGCTAAGGTCGAAACTCACAACCATCCCACTGCCGTCTCCCCTTTTCCTGGCGCTGCAACGGGCTCGGGTGGAGAGATTCGTGATGAGGGTGCAGTCGGCAGAGGCTCCAAGCCCAAGGCCGGTCTCGCTGGATACTGCGTTTCTGATCTTCTGATCCCTGATCTGAAGCAGCCTTGGGAGCTCGATGTCGGCAAGCCCAACCACATTGCAAGCAGCTTGGACATCATGCTGGATGCTCCCATTGGCAGCGCTCACTACAACAATGAGTTTGGTCGTCCCTGTACACTTGGATACTTCCGTACTCTCCTTACACAGATTGACATCGGTAATGGACAGACTGAGGTTCGTGGTTACCACAAGCCTATTATGATTGCTGGTGGCGTTGGAACCGTCCGACCACAGCATGCTATCAAAAAACCCGAGGTCGTCAAGCCCGGCTCCTACCTCGTTGTTTTGGGAGGTCCCGCCATGCTTATTGGACTGGGCGGAGGCGCCGCTTCCAGTATCACGTCTGGTGAAGGATCTGCGGACTTGGATTTCGCTAGTGTCCAGAGAGGCAACGCTGAAGTGCAGCGGAGAGCTCAGGAGGTTATCAATGCTTGTGTGGCCATGGGTGAGAACAACCCCATCAAGTTCATTCACGACGTCGGTGCAGGTGGACTTTCCAACGCGCTTCCCGAGCTCATTCACGATTCTGGACTGGGTGCCACTTTTGAACTTCGTGAGGTTGATAGCGCCGACAAGAGCATGAGCCCCATGCAAATTTGGTGCTGTGAAGCCCAGGAAAGATATGTCCTCGCAGTTGGTGAAGAAAGCATGAACAAATTCACCGCCATTGCTCACCGTGAGCGTTGTGGCTTCTCGGTCGTTGGCCGTGGCGAGGGTGGCTCCGAGGAGGACAAGAGACTTATCCTCCTTGACAGAGACTCCACCGAGTATCCCAAACCCATTGACCTTCCTTTGTCAGTCCTCTTTGGCAAGCCTCCTCGGATGACAAGAACTGTGGACTCCCGCAAACTCAAACTCCCCGCCGTCGATGCAAGCCTTACCACCTACCTTCCTTCCCTTGCGCCGAACCGCGTCGAGCTGATCAGCGAGGCTGCGAACCGTGTCCTTTCTTTGCCTGCTGTAGGCTCCAAGTCTTTCCTGATTACAATCGGCGATCGCACCGTGGGTGGTCTTACTGCTCGGGACCAGATGGTTGGAAAATGGCAAACCCCCGTCTCTGACGTTTCTGTCACGGCCACTGCATTGGTGCAGGGAATGAAGACTGGTGAAGCCATGGCCATGGGTGAGAGGCCAACTCTTGCTCTTATTTCTCCGGCCGCGTCGGCTCGGATGGCAGTTGCGGAGTCCCTCATGAACATTGCTGCTGCGGACTTGGTCGACCGCCTGAACCAAGTCAAGCTGTCTGCCAATTGGATGTCCGCCAGCAATCACCCCGGTGAAGGAGCCGCTATCTACGAGGCAGTGGAGGCTATTGGTATGGATTTGTGTCCTAAACTTGGCATCAGCATTCCCGTTGGGAAGGACTCCATGTCAATGAAGATGAAGTGGACCGATGAAGCCACCAAGGAGCCCAAGGAGGTCACTGCCCCTATGTCCCTCGTTATCTCTTCCTTCGCGCCCGTTGGCGATTTCCGAAAGACCTGGACGCCAGCCCTCCGCAGTGTTGAGGATGTCGGTGAGACTGTTCTGATGTTCGTTGATCTCTCGTTCGGCCGTAGGACCCTGGGCGGCTCAGCCCTCGCTCAAGTCTTCAACCAGGTTGGAGATGAATGCCCTGATGTCCGCGATGTGGAGATCTTCAGAGACTTTTTCGACGCTACTCAGCAGCTCCAGGAGGCTGGCATCGTTTTAGCCTACCATGACAGATCCGACGGTGGTCTCTTCACTACTCTCGCCGAAATGATGTTTGCCGGACGTTGCGGTGTGGAAATCATGCTGGACAACATCTGCCCCACCAACAGCACGCAAGATCTTGTATCGACCCTCTTCACGGAAGAACTGGGCGCGGTCTTCCAGGTGCGCAAAGAGCATGAGATTCAGTTCCGCTCTTGCTTTGCCACCTGCGGTCCCCCTGCTGGCCTGATCCACAAGGTCGGTCGTGTTTCCGAAAGGCCAAAGCAGAACCTCGCCATTTACCACAAGGCCAGTCTGGTATACCGCCACAGCCGTGCAAACCTCCAGCAGACCTGGGCTACCACCTCGTATCACATGCAGAAGATCCGTGACAACGCCGCCTGCGCGGAACAGGAATTCTCGAACATCTTGGACGATGCCAACCCCGGTCTGTCATGGAACCCCACCTTCGACCCCAAGGACCGGGCCATGCCCCTTCTCACCAGCCTCAAGTCTCCCTTCAGCAACAAGCCACGTGTGGCCATCCTGCGTGAGCAGGGTGTTAACAGCCAAGCGGAGATGGCCTTTGCCTTCAATGTGGCTGGGTTCTCTGCCGTTGATGTTCACATGACCGATATTATCTCTGGCCGCGTTTCTCTCTCCAGCTTTGTCGGCCTTGCCGCCTGTGGTGGTTTCTCTTACGGTGACGTTCTCGGTGCCGGTCAGGGTTGGGCCAAGTCAGTCCTGCTGCACGAGAATACCCGCACTGAATTCCAGAGCTTCTTCCAGCGTCCCGACACCTTTGCTCTCGGTGTCTGCAACGGTTGTCAGTTCCTCTCCCGTCTCAAGGAATTGATTCCTGGAGCATCCAACTGGCCCAGCTTCGAACGCAACGCCAGCGAGCAGTACGAAGGTCGTGTCTGCATGGTCCGTATCTCGGATCCCGACCCTGCCAACCCCAGTGTCTTCCTCCACGGCATGAACGGCAGCTCGCTCCCTATTGCTGTCGCTCACGGAGAAGGTCGCGCTTCATTCGCTGCGGCTCCCGGCACCTCAGCTGAAGATTTCGTTCGTGAAGGCCTAGCCCCCATCCAGTATGTCGACAACGCCACTCTCAAGCCAACCATGAAGTACCCATTCAACCCCAACGGCAGTCCCGAGGGTATTGCTGGTATTCGCAGCGCGGACGGCCGTGTCCTCGCCATCATGCCTCACCCCGAGCGGACCGTGATGGGCGGTATTGCCAGCTGGCTGCCTCCTAATGCTGAAGAGTGGGGTGACATTGGTCCATGGGGCCGTGTGTTCTTCAGCGCCAGAAGATGGGTTGGCTAAACGTGATCACAGTCTCCGCCTCGATTGGATTGCATTTGCAAATTTTTTTTTCTTTTTCTTCTTTTTCTCTGGCCTGGTCCAAGATTGGGAGTGATGTACAGCGAAAACCAAAATTGATTGGGAGATTACCACTTGTTTCTGGTATATAAAAGATCTACAATATCTGTTCTGCATGATGAGTTCGATGCCTTAGGATGATCAAATCAAATTGTTATGATGAATTCAACAGGAATACAAGCATATTCACAGCGATTCTCAACCTTGAATTACGAATTCTGCCTCCCTTGAGCAAAAGTCATATCGTTCATATTCTAGTTATGTAGACCTCTAAGCCATTGAATAGCAAAGCATCGTGGATATCATAGCAAGGTATCATTACAGCAAATATCATCGCGCCTCTTCACATCACGCCAGGCACTAAACAGCCAAACGCCTCTTACGCCACTCCAGCTTCTCAGCCAAAATCTCCCAACTGATCCGACCATCCACTCGTCCCACGCCCTTCAAACCAGCTGTCAGAAACGCAATCGATCGGTCAAAGTGATCTTTGATATCCCTCAGTCGGTGCGCGTACGGTGCCTCGTTAAAGGAAATACCGGTGGTATTGCCGGCATCCTCGTCTGACTCATCCTGTGTATCGTCGTCGTCATCGTCATCATCACTTTGGACCGCGTCGTTGTATGTATCCTGCTGCTTCCTTCTGCTGAGACCGTTTCTGCTTTGCGAAGACTTGGCATACGTGGTCGGCGTCTTTGTCTGATCGAACTGCTTGTTCCCGAAGCGTGTCGCTTGGATGTCTGCAAAGTACACGCAGAGATCTAAGAGATTGATTGTCGCTTGGTGGAGAGGTGATAGATTGCTGGAGAGGAGGCACTGGTCTTCCAGGGAGGACATGTACGCGCGATGCGTTGCGATCATCGCATCGACGTCCTTTGTGGCAGAGAGGGACTTGCGCAATGACTCTGTCGTTGTGGAGATGACAAAGTCCGTAATGTGGCTGTAGAGGGTGTTCAGGAACCACAGCATGTTGTGCCGAAGAGCGTAGCTCAATGCGTTGCTGCTCCTGTCGTGCGAGAATTCGTCTGTGTCATTGGTGTACTTCAGACGTTGTTTTACGATCAAGTGCTTTGCTCGGCGGATCTGCATCAGGAATGTCGAGATGCGCTGGTAGCTTTGGATGGCGTCTTTGGTGATGATGTTCGCAATGGGCCAGGATAGGATGTAGTCGAACGAGATGGTTCTGAGGGCCTTGACCGAGCGGCTGCGCCCTTGTGGATTCTGGTGTGAGCGGACTATTATTCTTGAGTGGTCGATGAAAGACATGCTGCTGAACGCGCTCTGTGCGAGTTCGGTAAGGAGATACCTGTCGCTCCAGGCGCCTCTGCCGCGATCCATGAGGTCAAAGACCTTGTTGTCGATAATAGCTGACACGCCGAGGTCCTTGCAGAGGTAGATGTGTTCCAAAGCTTGAAGTGAGTTCCAAAGCCCGCATTGCTGGTCAAGCTCTTTTCGCAGCAGATCGGACGCAAAGGAGTGGTTAGCCTCGACGAGCTTGTCTATAGCGGACTCGCTTATGGCGGCAAAGGGAAGACACAGTAAGGAGCTTGAGCCACCACCGTAGATTTTTTCCAAGGTAATGGTAGTCGTCTGCGAGCCTTCGAGTTTCTCCAGAGCATTCAAGTGTTGCAGAAAAACCATGCTTTTACCCGCGGTGAAAATCTTTTGGGCAACGGGCTTCATAAATCGTGGAAGCCCAAACGCGTCGTCCACAGTATACCATTCGCGCCAAAGGGTCCGCAGATCTTTATCGCCACGTTGGTCTATAATGAAAGATATCCCTTCTCTTGAGTCCAGTCGTCCCTCCTCCATCCAACGACGGATCGGACGAATGTACGTATCGAGACATGAAAAGAACAAGCCTGCCAGGAATCTGAACTCGCCATCATCCCCTGTAGCTTGCTTCATGCAGACCACATCGTACAATAGGTCAAGACACCGTACACCGTCGTCTGGAGTGTTATACTTGAGACTGGAGATTAAATCGGCCAGAAGCACGAGCATCACTGATGCGCTGCGGACATCTTCGGCCAGTTGTAGTAGGCTGACGAATAAAGTCGCTCCTTGCGAAATATACTGAGCTTGCACCTCCGACAGGAACGCGTCAAACTGGTTTAGGCAGTCCTCAACACATCGGTGAAAGGTTTGCATATAGGGAACAACCTGGGTGATCTTGGTGAAGTGTCTCAGAACATCTACCTTGGCACCAATCATGCTGAATGACCGCAAAAGCGAGGACAGGGCCTCGGTCGAGGCATCTGTAAGAGTATACCGTCGATCGACCTCGATGCTGTCATCGAGTCGCCAAAATAAGGACGTGGGCAAACCCTGCAACATGAACAATGTCTCTCTTACAATTTGAAGCTCCGTGACCACAAGGCAGGAAACATTTTCGACTTGTTTGGAGTTTGCGTGGTTGTCAGGCCTCCAGAATTGAGCTTTCTTAACGGAGTCCACAAGAACCACATCCATTCCAGGAGAGAAGACTTCATCGGGGATTTCATAGTCTTCTTCTGAAACTATGGGACTGGAAGGTAGAGTCTGTGGGATTGAGGCGTCACTGCGCACCGATGAAACAAGATCATCATCTTCTTCGGATGAGGAATTTGCGCCGAAATCTACACATTCCCAAATATCTTCATCACAATACGCGGATCCCGAAGCATCCAACTCCGTCCAGGAGAGTTGCTTCGCGCCCTCATCAATCTTGGGCTTTGGGAGTTGGTCTACCCGCGAGAACAGAGCAGGGCGATCAGAGAGCTGTAAGAGGAAAGATAGTATTTCGGGAAACCATGAGCTATGGTGTTCATCTAATTCAGTCAAGCGACTCCGGAGTGCGTGCGCCAGATCATCTTGATTTAGAACCTGGAATTTCTCCTGCAGGCCCTCTAGCTGTCTTGAAACCGCAAACTGGTCAGTCCGGCCATAAGAGGCCGATTTGAACTTGTCTTCGACACGATGCTTTATATGCTTGAATCGCGACGTATTCTAGACGCTAACGTTAGCAACAGCGGAGCGCTCAAAGCAGTATGATAGTACCTCATACATTCAGATCAATCTTTGTGATAGCCACGATTAGCTCATCCGTTAGCGCACTAACGTCCTCGGGGAGAGCCATCTTGGGGTGTGTTGCATTTGCAACAAGTCAGAGTAGATGTTGGAATTCAGGGGGGAATATTCTCCGATGATTCCCCATCGTTGTTCCATCGACAACCTAGGACCTTGGATCGAGCCGGGGTTACGCGGCATCCAGACTGTAGACGAATCTCTCAGCGTCGAGACTCCAGAGCGTGACGTGTTGCTTATTTCTCGCCACGCTATTCCTCTTCAGGACAAGCGGCATCTGGTCCGACAGATAGAGTCGCCAGAGAAGAAGTCGACGACAGCAGCCAATTATTCTTCTCTTACTTCCTCCCTGGCCGTCGGTTTTCGCAATCAAGCAGTCAAGATGGCTGTGGCGAGACCCATTCGCATGTTAGGTGCAGCATGCATTCTGCTGTGTCTGTTTCTGATCTTCCAGATCAACCAAAGTCAAGGCCCATCGTTCATTAGTAAGGGGTCAAAAGGGTATGATGGCATGAAGAACGATCCCCTTTCGAATCGTACGTCTCACTTAAGTTTCTCTGGAAGCCTTGTTTTAATACTCTTCAATTCCGGTGACTCGCGCACGTACTGATGAAATTACCTCTGCAGCGACCGGCGAACCCGAAGGTCATTTATGGCGAGCCGAAGACAACGACTATGCCCCCGACAGCGCCAGTTCCGCCCGCACAAACGCTGCTCTCATTTCCCTCGTCCGTAATGAAGAGCTGAACGACCTTATTCCGACGATGAAAGATTTGGAGCGGACATGGAATGGCAAATTCAATTATCCCTGGATCTTCTTCAACGACAAGCCCTTCACGGAAGAATTCAAAAAACGCACACAAGCAGAGACGAAGGCAAAGTGCTACTATGGTATTTGCGCCCAATCTTATTTCTACTGAATGCAAGTGACCTGACAAAGTGTCCAGAGCAAGTGCCAAAGGAACACTGGGACCCTCCGGAATGGATCAACATGGAGCTCTTCCGCGAGTCTGCGGCGATTCTGAATGAACAGAAGATCCAATACAGCGACAAGCTCTCGTATCATCAAATGTGCCGGTGGAACAGTGGCATGTTCTACAAGCATTCCGCTCTTAAGAACTACAAGTACTACTGGCGTGTTGAGCCGAAGGTCCAGTTCTTCTGCAACGTCGATTACGATGTGTTCCGATTCATGGAGGATAGAAACCTTACTTATGGTTTCACTATCAATCTTTTCGACGCTCCCCAAACTCTCCCCACCCTCTGGCCAGAGACTAAAAAGTTCCTGGCTGCGAACCCCTCTTATCTCTCCAGTAACAACATGATGGAATGGTTGACGGACAACACACTGCGGCCAGACCACACGGAAGCCGCGAATGGATACTCTACCTGCCACTTCTGGTCGAACTTCGAAATCGGTGACTTGGATTTCTTCAGAGGAGAGCAGTACGATGCCTACTTCAACCATCTTGACCGTGCCGGTGGTTTCTTCTACGAGCGATGGGGGGACGCTCCGGTCCATTCCATTGGATTGGGACTGTTTGCTGACGCAGCCAAGGTTCACTGGTATGTTATTCCTTCATCGATCTGACGCTCAAAGCTGACCTTCTTTTTCTCTCCCAGGTTCCGGGACATTGGATACAATCACATTCCCTATTTCAACTGCCCCAATTCACCCAAGTGCTCTAAATGCACCCCTGGAAAATTCTACGCCGGCGAGCCCTTCCTCGCCAAGGAAGACTGCAGACCCAGCTACTTTAAGCATGTCGGGATGCATTAATCCATCAGAATGTTTCCTCCTTTCTTAATTTCTGAAGATTCATTATATGGCATGCAATGTGTATAACTGCAGAAGCAACTGTCATGACCCACACCATTCTATATCATACCCAGCATTGATGACGGATAAGTACTTGAAAACTTTTTTTTCAAGATCATAGTGGCGTTCTCAGGGGGGGTGGTTCTGAGCTTTTGTTGTATCTTCTTTGTCTTAATACTTGTCATTTATATGTCAGCCGAGTGTTGCTACCTTGAGAGGATCGCTGGACCGGCCTTCATTGTATCTATATTCTTTTATTCAAGTCGATCCTCATGTACTAAGAATTTAATGGGACGTGTGCATCAGAGACTTTCTTGATCGCTTCTATCGATTCTACATCATGAGTTCAGGCCGTTACTTGGTGACAGCACAAAAAGGACAACCCCTCATATTCCTTCACTATCTTCAATAGTACAGAGTACAAGCAAAAGTCACAAACTTTATAGTAGTAGCACTGGTATAGAAAAGCACAGGTGCTCACCTCCATTCAACCCCCGAGTCGACAGGCTCCAGGTCAGAAACGGACAATTAAGCAACCAACCAGACCTTGGAGACCTTCTCCAACTGCATTCTAGAGTATGTATACAGCTTTCCTATCTTAGCGACTTAACAAAGAGACAAGAGTTCTTGCGGTCTTGCGGGCGTTTTGTCTGGAACGAACACATCTATTCCTCGTTGGGGTAGAGCTCCTCCCGGAGAGCAACACCAAGCTCCTGGCGCAGACCCTCAAGGCTCTCGAGGTACTGCTTGTACTGGTCCTGAGTCTCAACCTTGGCCTTGATACCTGTTCAAGCATAAACACATGAGTGTGTGCGTGTGTAAAAAAAAGAGCGGTGAATGATATTAGGGGCAAGAGGCGCACCTTCAAAGATCCGGACGGCAGTGGGGAAATCGTTGACACGGCGGGCAGCCCTCAGGGCAGCGGAGAGGACCTCAACGGAGGGGACGAGATCATAGGCGAAGCAGTTGTTGAGGTTACGCTGTAGCGGATAATTGATCAGCGTCACATATCACGGGGAAGAGCGAAGACCAATGCGAATGGCGAATCTTCATCATCATATGATTCGAGAGCGGATGGTGATGTGACACGAATTTGCCGTATGTGCGAGGGCGGTCAGGTCAGGCTTACCTGGAGCTCGAAGACATCCTGAACGCCATCGAATTCCTTCTCGAATCTGTCCAATGCCGAGTCAGTGTGACGATTTCCCAGTATTCACCGGCTCCTTGTCCATGTTGGGAATCGGCATCACAAGTATTATCGGATCCGGGGGAGAAGTTCCCTGCGATCGCCCTTTTGTGCCTTTCCTCGCTCAAATCGCACCCAATGGCTGGCTAATAGTGATAGCATACCTAGCAGAGAACTCCTCGTATGTCTCATCCTCGTGGGCACCGGACAGACGCTTCGTGGTGGTGCTGAAGCTAGGACGGTTGAGGGCCAGAGCTGCCGGGGCCTGCACGCGGGACCGGGGGAATTGAGAAGCTCTGATGAAGCCGGAAGGGCGGACGGCGCGTGTCGCAACACGGAAGATAGACAGGGACGCCATTTCGAGAGGAGTGAAATGGGAGGATGGATAAATTGACGTGCTTTGGGGGGGTGGAAGACGGGGCAAGACGTAGACGAGGTTGGAAGTCAGAGGACAAGCCGGCTGCCGCTAGGATTTTGCGGGTGGTGTGAGGTGGTGGATGCCTCAGGTTTTCTCCAGTCGCTGTCATGATTGACCACACCTGGTCCATTTGCGGCTCCCGTGCGTGCCCGACTCTGTGGCTGCCTCAGGCCTTTATGCTGTCATCCGCTTTGATTGCATTTTGTCGTTTCTGATTGGTCAGTGTATGTTCACTTCAATTGGAGTATCTGATTGGTCAATCACTATATCATTTCCAGTCGTTGTTGATGGACGAGATCCTGATTACTTAGACTACATCAAAATCCCATTCCTGATCATGCTTATCTGCATTGAGTTAAGGACTTTATTCACTGTCTATCATATGCAGTGATCAGCAGTACCAGCCTTTCCGGTGTAACTACACCGCGAGTCATAGCCCTATTCTGAGAACAGGCCACCAAGCTCTCGTTGTTGACATCTAGACGACTGATGGAAGTCATCAAGCTACCTGCTGTGCTTATATGTCACCCGTCCCGTTATGCTGCGGGGGGGACAGTCTAATATTTGGAAATCAGAATCGAGCCAATTGGAACTTCTCTGCTGATTTCCATTGTGCTGTTGATGCAGCTGCCCGCAGACAAAACCAAGCCAGCTCCAAGGATATATTCAACAGCATGATCCGGATTGATACGTACTTTGACCACCACGAGGACATGTCAATACCTATTAGTTGGCTTGCATGCCGGATGGTAGATTCGAAGCTCATGCTCTCTTCTTTTGAAATTCAACAGTCTTCGGGATGCTCGAGTATTCAGAGCGATATTTTGCTGCGTCAACGTTTCGTCAAATGTAACACTACATGTCTCAAGTCCACAATGGCCCGGTTTGAACTCACAAATACCAAAAGACAAAGTATCTAGTTACTCATTGGAGACCTTAAGGAATCAAATGCGACGAGTGTGTAGCAGGAGTCGAATATCAACGGAATGTAACACATTGCCCAGTCCATCCCTTCTACTCCGGAGTCATTTGGCCATCTGAAACCCACTCATATGGAACAAATCAAGTCTAATACGGAGTATCTACCACACAAGCAATAAATCGCAAGCCTCATTTCTCCCTAGTCTGGGTTTCCTCTGATTCTCGATCAGCGAACATGTGGATATCAGCTTAGACCAAAAATCAAGATGCCCCAGTGTTGAACGAGACCGAAGTTTCTACCATGGTACTACCCTTGACTCCCTTTTTGTGCTACTTGTCCGGACGGTGAAGATGCTTTCATTTGTCCTCATTTGTAGGAGAGCCATGATATTGAACGCCAAAGTAGACTTCGACCACTTGAAATTGAGTCCGTTTCATATTTCAGTTTTAAGTGCTTTTGTACTATTGTTCGTGATACTTGACATATCGAGCATGTGAAAGCCGGCTTAATTTGTGGTTCAAGACGGCTGATCCCCGTGCTTCTCCGTGATATTAACTGAATGGGCAACAACATTGCAGGTGATACCTCATAAGTAAGGTCAATGGACTGATATAAATACTTTCCTTTTCCTCACTACAAGTAGATACAGAAGAAGCATTAATGCTTTTATGATAGTGTGCTCATACACGCGGAAGCTCGGAAGCACATGATCCGCCAAGAGAGAAACCTGAAGGTTGCCCCTTATTATTCAGGCGACCGAGGCAGCGCTAGTCCCTTTTGAGCGACTGCGGACAGGCCGGGAGACCCAAAGAAAAGGCGACGATCGGCCATTGGACGCTTCTGATTCGATGACTTTGATTATTTTCTCTCCTTGCGGACAAAACAGCCCAGTCCCCGTCGTAGCAGCCTCTCTCATCTCATTATTGCTGTACTCGAAAAACTCTCTCTCCACTCTCTCTTCCCTCTGTCTATCTCGTTGCTACCCCAATCTCCCAGATTCTCTTCATCGTATTTCTTCTTCTTCTTCTTCTTCTCCTTCCTCTTGTTGTTTCTACTAATTCCCTTTATCTTCTCCAATCCTCTTCGCTAGTCACTCCTTGAGTGCTCTCCTTCTTTGCACTCTCTTTCGGCCGCATCGACGGCTCGCAGTGTAACCCCAACAAAAAAAAAAACAGGGTCGGCTTTTTAAGGGGTTCCTTTCCAGTCCACCTTCCCGTGCAGTTCACTATCTACGACCTACCTCTGTAATAGATCTGTCTCACACTATACATCATGGCACTCGAATTACTGCAGAACTTGCCCCGTCCGACAATTGATCGGCCTTTTGGTATTCACCTATGGCCCATCTTCGACAAGGCCTTCGAGGCCGTCGTGGGCTACCCAGCCAGTGAGTTCAAGTTTGTCGAGGGTGTGACGCCAATGTCTACCTTCAAGGAGACAGCGATTGCGCTCGTGGCCTACTACATCATCATCTTCGGTGGTCGCGAGGTGATGAAGAAACGCCCGGCTTTTAAGCTCAACACGCTGTTCATGATCCACAACTTCTACCTGACCGCGATCAGCGCGACTCTACTCGCTCTCTTCATTGAGCAGCTCTTGCCTACGCTCTACAGACATGGTATTTTCTTTGCCATTTGCGATCACCAGGGTGGATGGACCCAGCCCCTCATCGTCCTGTACTACGTAAGTGAACTTCTCCTGATGTCGAGGTTACAAGCGCTCGCCGGCTAACAGAGAGGATAGCTCAACTATCTGACCAAGTACCTCGAACTTCTCGATACCGTCTTCCTGTTCCTCAAGAAGAAGCCCTTGACCTTCCTTCATACCTACCACCATGGTGCCACCGCCCTTCTGTGCTACACTCAGCTTATCGGTTTGACTGCTGTCCAGTGGGTCGTCATTGACATCAATCTGCTTGTTCACGTTGTCATGTACTGGTACTACTTCCAGAGTGCTCGTGGCATTCGCATCTGGTGGAAGGAGTGGATCACCCGTCTCCAGATTATCCAGTTTGTCATTGATCTCGGTAAGTACTCTGGAAATCTGCTTGCTGTTACACACACACACACACACACACACACACGCTGACTGAACATCAGGCTTCGTTTACTTCGCTTCTTACACCTACTTCTCTTCTACCTACTTCCCCTGGGCTCCCAACATGGGCAAGTGTGCCGGAGAGGAGTTTGCCGCTTTCTCGGGCATTGCCATCATCAGCTCTTATCTCTTCCTATTCATCTCCTTCTACATTGCCACCTACAACAAGACTGCCAAGACTGGCCGTCCTCGTCGCAACACTGGAAAGCAGTCTCTGGCTGATATGAAGAACTTTGAGGTCCCCTCCGTCACTCCTCCTGCCAATGGCAGCGCCCAGTCGAACGGAGCGGCAGTGTCGACTGGCCGGTCCAATGGCCCCGTCACTCGCTCTCGCAAGGTTTAGATGCGGAGCGGCTTGCGGGTGATGGAAGGGTCGAACTCACCCTCCGCGATTCCTCTCTAGGATACCTTCAGAGCGATAGTCTCATGTGCCTCATTCCCTCAACTGGTCTGAGCTCTCCGATGATGATCGACACCACGCGAACTGCTTCTTGTGCGCATGGAACAGAAAAAGCGACCTCGTTTACTTCTGCTTCAGAGATTTATTTTCTGCTGCCTAGATTTTTTACCACTGTTTAATGAATGACCTTATGATACTGGTCGCTTTCGCATTGCAATGAGCTCATATGGTGGTGTCACTTTGCAGCATGGGCAGGTGCAAAGTCAACACTGGGTGGATTACGAGTGTCTGGGGGGAAATGTCCAAGTTCTTACCCGGAGGCCTGGCAGAGCGACAAGGTGTTGTTCTGGCGGGTTCCAGGTTGTATTTTACGTCTTACCTTTCTTCATGTGTTTTTTTGTCATGCTGCTGGTTGCAGCCATTTCCGCCCTCTATTCGCGCTTGTGGTTCATACATGATTTTATTCTAGTATTTATAGATGACAGGTAAACATAAATGTAATGGTGATGATATGCCTTGTGCTCCTTTTGTACATTGAATCATGATGTAGACTGCTCGCATATTGACGGAGGCTCGTCGAGGTTTTAGCTGGACCCAATGCTCCTTTGAGCCGAATGTCGTCCTGCTATTTGATATTTTATAGCCAGTACTAATTTCAAGGTCTTAATGACGAAGCTTTTCCAACATCATTCAAGTTTAACACCTAGTGGTATTTCTCCATATACTTTTTGGACATTCCCACATCGCTCCTGCACAAATGTGAAACCGTTCATTCGTACCGAGGGTGACAGATCGCATCGTCATGACAAATCTATGGCCCAGAGACTCCCCCTTGACCTCAAAGTGGTGAATTACACTCCAGAAGTCACGAGACCTAAAAGCGACTCGCCTACAGGGATATCATTGATCTGATGGTCTCGTGTCGAGGTAATTCTGGTAAGTGCTTGTCTGGAGTCTGTCGATGCTACGAAGTGAGAGTCGCAGAGGCATCAACAGCAGCGACGTCCATTGTGATGACTCTCAGTTGGATTGGAGCAATGCTGGATGCTGATGTTGAGGTGATGTGATGGTCGTGATGCCTGGTGACTGATCAACCGAGACCAGACTGGCCGAGATTGGGTTCTTGTGCTGTTGGAGAATCGAGCAGCGCTAAGCAAGGGCAGCACGGTCCTGGATGATATTTGCACTGGGTAGTACGAGGCTGTATCAGAACCTGCATTCTGGACTCCGTATCCGTACCTCGTCAGTATCGTATCCCTACCGCGTTCGGCATGGATTGTGAGTCTGGGAAGTAAGTCGAGATGAATACTTATCAGGTGCCTACTAGTATGCGGGACTCCGTTGTCATAGGCTGGAGCAGACTGATGGAATGACACTGACTGACAGGGTCGGTCTGAGCCGGTAGCAAGGGGGGGAGGGGTGAAGTGTAAGATCTGAGACATTGTCCTTCAGGGGCATGCGGAATGATGAGATGAGGTAGGAGGAGTTCTGGCATTGCATCGTGGTTAACGAGGTCATGAG